AGTCATTTTTTCACTTATGTAATTATCCAGACTGAAAACTCATAATGTAAATTCCAAAGTTAGTAATAATTTCAGTATTCTTTCGGAGATAAAGATCATAGTTAAACTTTGACCGTCTTTTATAGAATCAAATGGTTCGCGTCCATCTGTGCTGATTGCGTACAATTCATTGATAAGGTCTTAATCTGCGAAGACCTTAACCTTTCATTGGTTGGCACAGATAACTGACGCCGGCCAATATGGTGCGGGTTTATTGAACCTCCCTATTAAATTTAGAACTGTCCAATGGACTACACCAATGGACTAACGCATTCACTCACTCACTCACTACACACTTACTCCTCTCGAGTCCTTGATCTTTCCACACGCATTATCTCTAATCCTTCGCCTTGATATGCTTTAATTCGTGCAGCAAATATGGGAATCCAACGAATCATTATTTGCAAACTCGAAATTTTGATAAGCGCTCATTCTTACGTCCATTAACTTTTCTTGCAAATCTAGGAAACCTGAAATTATGCAATAATTAGTTTATAAAGCAATCAATTATTGAATACATTTACATCAAAGATCTAAATTCCAAATCTATCTTTACCTGATGATTGATTTCGAAAAAGCAACAGAAACTGAAATGTTACAACAATTAGTTTATAAAGTCAATCAATCATTCTTAAATTTTGCATGTATAATCCAAATCCAACATTGCACATAAACCGTATATTTTTTTGCTGTTAATTGTAGAATTTGTGCATCAATGTAGCAACTGTGATGTGATTAGCAAGAATATGATCTGAAGCGTGCGATCGATACCGAGCTAAAAATAGAATTCGTCTTCATTCTGTCTACACAACGCACGAAGCGTATTACATATTTTTTTGTTGTTGCGTTCGTGTGATTAGATACTGGAAATATGTAACTAGTGGAGAAGTGCACATGCTGGGGCCGCGTGCTATTGCCACACATCCCTAAAGCCGGAACCAGGAACACAAAAGTGATTTCAACATTATTTTTTTTTGCGAAAGAATTTCTGGGTTCATCGGTCCTTCATTTCTTCCTTCCACCGCCACAAGTGTATCCATCCGCACTTTTTACCCTTTCGCTTCGCACGAGCAAATCCGTTTGACATTCTGCCAGGATTTCCCAATACCGAGCAATTCTCGACCACGTAAAAAACCTATAAATAATACAATTTCGTTTACGTTCACAATCATATTTCGAGAGAAAACCAACCACTTGTGCTGGGTCGCGACATTGAAAATTAAAGTTATAAATAATGAGAGCGCGCGCCGCACCGGACATTCGCAAATAGAACTGCAACGGCAGAAACATTATTTGGATCAATAGATACAAATTCCATTTGTTTCGGTTGCTTGGCATCCAATAACGTATTTAGTTGTCATGGCATTAGGTTGTTGATGGGAACAAATGAATGTATGAATCGTCGATTAGGAATGATGCACGCATGTAAATCTTGCGTTCCGGGCGATCTGCCAATGTTTTGACGGAAGCGCTGACGAAAATACGCGTTGCGCAATCTGTTGTCGCGGAAACAACACCTCTTTGCATACCTTCAATATTAAGTCTCAATTTGATTACAAATCAAAATATACACTTTTCTAAAGTGAAAAAACTATAAATGTGCAATTTGATGAATCTTGATTGTTTTGCAGCGAAAGTTCCATGTTTGTGTCGAAGAGACGTTTCATCCTGAAGACGTGCGGAAGCACGACGCCCTTACTGTGCTTGGAACGTCTGCTGCTGCTCGTGGAGCAGTACGCAGGCTTCAACGACGTGGAGGATATATTCTACTCCCGCAAGAATTACAAGAGACCCGAGCTGCAGGTGTCGCCGCACAGCGATTTCAACCAGGAGGTTGCCCTTCTGGACACGATGTTCCCGGAGGGAGCAGCGTACTGTTTGGGCGCCGTCAACAGAGACTGCTGGTTCCTGTACACGTTGAACCCACTTCCGCAGACCCCAGCAGCTGTTCTTCCGCCCGGCGTCCAGACCGAGGCCGACCAGACGCTCGAGATCCTGATGACCGATCTCGATCCAGAGATCATGTGCATCTTCACCAAAGAGGAATGCCTGAACGCGGCAGAAGCCACCAAGGTAATACCATTACTTTGCTATTCTGATAACGGTTTTCCTTCACGTTTATTCTTTTTGCAGAAATCTGGAATAGACAAGATCATTCCAAATATGATGATCGACGATTACCTGTTCGAGCCGTACGGCTACTCGATGAACGGCGTTTCAAAAACTGTAAGTACTCTCATTCTCACATTCTCTCCGCATCTCTTCCGAAACTTAACACATAAAAATTTCCTTGCCCAGACTAACCAAGATAATCCACCTGTAAGTATCGTAATATAGTAGCGACAGTAAGCACAAACACAAACAAATACCTTTAATCCGAAAATTAGATTTCTCTAAAAACGTATTCAATCCTCGCTTCTAAAAAAAAAACAAAACCAAAAGAAAGTGTAATAATATATAAATTTAAAAGATCTAATGAAAAGTACTTGCTCTTAATCTCCTCTCTTTACTTATATTGTATTGACTAATTTATGCAATGCGCAGGGATCGTACATGACCATCCACATAACGCCGGAGTCAGAGTTCAGTTACGTTAGCTTCGAAACAAACGTACCTTCCGGAAGTTACCGTGAGACGATCGGCAAAGTCCTGGACGTCTTCAATCCTGGAAAGTTCACCATCACCGTCTTCGCCAATCAAGTAAGCGTCTCATATAATCTATAAAACAAAAAACTGTATTAGTAATCATACAAAATGAACATCTACTGTCACCTGTCACTGTCATCTTAATTGACATTTTTCTTTTCTAAGGCGTCGCAGGCCAGGGAATTGCCGAAGGAGCTTCACTTCCAATCGAAGATCGGCGACTGGAATCGCAGGGAGATGCAGGTGTGTCATTTCAAGAACTACGATTTGACCTACCTGTTCTACAGCAAGTTCCCGAGCTGAGGGTGTCCAGCCGAGCTGTGCACGTCCACAGCCGAAACCGGTGGCCGACGGCAGGCGGCGCCGTCGGCGTCCGGTCGCAGCCGCTCCGCCGCCCCCACATCTAGTTGTAGTGATAGCAGTAGTACCTTTAGTCCGTTCCAATGTTGCGATGCGGCCATCAAACCAGTGCGCCGAAGGCGTTACTACGTGCGACCGCCCCCAGAGACACCGCCACCGCATCAGACGCACAACGTCTCCGCCCCGGCACGAACTCACCCGATCCTACCCGAGGCCTTCTCTTTCGACGATTTCGGGTCTGCTCTGATCATGTTCTGCTGGTGGCGCACGAAGATCTCGTGAGGCTCACCGCAAACTCTCTGAGTAGTTCGACACGCGACCCGACGGTTCCCTTCAACCTATGAGGGTTAGGGCTCAAAAACAAAACACACACACACATACAAAACAACAACAAAACACAATCTCACCAACAAAATAAGAAAAAAACATATTTTAAAAACCCTTCGAAAAAAAGAATATAATTATTAAAGTGAGTCGCCGTCTGAACTACTCGGAAAGTTTTAAAACATTGGATTTTAAATTTTTTAAATCAAAACATGTATATATATATCTATACATACGTACATGCAAACTACAAACAAACAAACAAACAAAAAGCAACTACAATACCAACATCCTCTCTCCCAACAAAAAAAAAAAACAAAATTTAACAAACATTTCGCCAACACAACAATTCGATTAAGAAAACATAATGATAACTGTAATACGCGTATAAATATATATATATTTCCCAAATGAAAACAAAAGTTTGAGTTAACAGTAACTAAACTTATGCGTAAACAAAGATACAAACAGACAAAAAAAAAAGCTTAGTTATTATGTGGTGCAAGAGGATCTTTGTCTCTCGAGTTTCTTTCTCAAATATAAGAAGCGAAGACGAAGATAACAAAAAAAAAACAACGGATACTTGAAGGTGCGAATCAAGCAAAAGATCCACAAATTTTATATTTCAAGAAAGAAACGCGCGCGTGAAATAAAATAAACGTTACCACAAGCAAACAAACAAAAAAATGAATACACTTGTGTCGTTACGTCAACAACAAAAAAATATGTAAGAAAATGTATTTTTTTATATAAATATGCATTCTGTTTAATAATTCTATTTTTTTTCTCTTTTTAATGCGATGATATATTTCATTTGCATGCAATTATAATTCTTCGTTTGTTTTATTATTTTCAATGTTTTTATTTTGGTACCTTTGATTAATTATGTAATTAAATGATTTTGTTTTATTTTCTCTTTTTAATTTTGTTTTTTTTTTATAGATTATTCAAAAGTATATAAGAATGCAAAATAAATGTGAAACAAAAGAAAATATAAATATATATTGTATATCTATCTATTATATGTATATGAAAGAGATGTAGTTTTAGGTTGGATTATAATGGAGCAGTGGAAAAAAATATAGTTTTTAGTCGATTTCCACCCAACATAAAAATATATATATTTAAATATGAAAGATGTTAAGGATGTTAAGATTACATATATCAATAAAGTTTAGATTGTATTAACAAATTTGATTAATTTTCTTTCACAAGAAATAGTTTTATTCGATTTTGCGTTTATTTTTCATCGGTTAAAGATAACTTAACATTGTTGTCTTATTAGAATCCCTCTTGCGCTTTCTTGAGGTACTCCTTCCTGCAGTCCATTCCCTCCGCAGGACTTCCGATACGATTGTGCGCCACCCAAACCGGTTCCCCGATGAAGTACCTTTTGGCCTTGACGTACATTCGCTTGTCCGGCGTGAACCTGTGGAAGATTCCGCTCGGCAGGATCAGCATGTCGCCAGGACCCACCTCGATCCTGATCCATCTGTCCCCCTTGTCCCTGACGTCGAAGTAACCGGCCCCGTCGAGCACCAATCTGATCTCCTCGTCCGTGTGCAGATGCTCCTCGAAGAAGATCTTCAGCTTATCGGCGTAGTTCGGGATGCACGTCTCCGAGCAGGTGATCTCATCCTCGTAGCTGTACTTCCTCTCCTTCCTAATACCATCCAAGACACCGTCCGTCTTGTACGTCTCAAGGTTCAACTTGAAATACTCGACTCCCGACAGCTCGAAGACATCCTCGATGGGCACGTACTCGGCGGGATCCAGGTGATGTTCCAATTGAGGATTCGAGGTGTCCTCGTCCATGTACCAAGCCCTAACCATCCTTATCAACGAACAAAACCAACACTGAAGACCGTACCAAACAGATAAGCAAAGCAGTTCAAAGTTCAAAATTAGTGGTGGGAATGTTATTGAGAGCATTGGCGTGCATTCCTCTCCTCAACGAAACATCGATCCGTTTCCGCATCCAACAAAGTTTTATCTAATAAAAAAAACGATTTCCAACGTAATCATTATCCGAGCCACTGTTACATCGACGATAACGTGCAAAGAAATCGCATTTCCAATTATGCAACCAAGCACGCCTCTGGTCCAGCGATAATCAGCTGTTAACTGTCATCTTGACGTGAGTCAGAACTGATCTAGACGGCAGATACACAAAAATGTAATTATTGCATAGAGCTGAATCAACAATGGCTTTTTTTGAGGTAAATCAAGTGAAACTTTTAAGAAACGCAATTAAACTTATTAATAAATTGTTTTGCAGTGGAGGAAATTCAATTTCTTTGAGCTGAAAAGGGGAGTGGATGATGGAAAATTGAATAAACTCTTCAAAGTGAGTACAGAAACAGATAACAATTTAGAAATTGGTGAGAATTCGTTTTATTTTAGGATGCTCCGATTGCTGTTACAACGAGTGGCAACAACCATTTGGTGGTTGGAGATGCCACCGGTCAGATTCATCTCATCTCCAGGTCTTGGCAGGTGACCAGTTTTCGGGCCTACGAATTAACCTTGCAGTTTGCACAGCAGCTGAGGAATTCACCCTTGCTGATTACGATTGGTGTAAGAAAATAAATTTATATTTAAGGTGAAAATGATGTGTGTGTTGATGTGGCTTTTTGCAGGAGGATGAGCAAGGGGTGAATCCGTTGATAAAGGTTTGGGATACTGGAAGACCGGATAAATCTGGGTCCCCATACTGCACTCGGATAACGAGGGCCATCCCGAACAATAGGGCGGTGCAGGTGAGCGCGCTGTGCGTTCACGATAATATGCAGATGATGGCTGTGGGATTCGTCGACGGTTCGTTGATTTTATATAGGGGTGATATTTCCAGGGACAGAGGCTCCAGGCAGAAGATATTGCGTGAGGCAAGTTCGACGGTCACCGGTTTAGCTTTCAAGACGACGGCGAACGCTGTTTACCTCTTCGTCAGCACCGAAAACTCGATTTACGTTTATAACGTTACATATAAAGATAAAGAAATCATGGTGAGATTTTGCATTAAACCTTGATGGTAAGAGTTTCATTAATCGTTTAAATGTTTTTAAAAGTCCACGTTGGATAATATTGGGTGCAGAAGGAATTGCAGCGTGATTACGGAATCCGTGCAGGAGACGCAATTCATGGTGGCTCGCGACGATGTAAGTAAGAATTGAGGAAACGCGAAGAATTTTGTTAAAAGACAACGTTTGATTGTAGGCAATCTATTGTTACAATTCGGATGGGAGGGGGCCCTGTTACGCGGCGGATGGGGAAAAGGTGTTGCTTCAGTGGTTCAGGAGTTATCTGATATTCGTCTCCAAAACGACGTGGTTGACGCCCACGCAAGCGGCGGCGGCCAATCAGAGGGGGCATCTACTGACAGTCCTCGATATTCAGAACAAGTTCATAGTGTTTTCCGCCCCATTGGATGAAATCGTCGCCGTTATCAACGAATGGGGCGGCTTCTACATCATCGATTGTAAGAACACCATCTACCATCTGAACGAGAAAGATTTGGGCTCTAAATTGTCTCTGCTTTTTAAAAAGAATGTGTACGATATCGCGATTCGCATCGCTAAATCTCAGCAGTACGACTCTGATGGTTTGGTGGAGATATTCAGGCAGTACGGTGACCATTTGTACGGTAAAGGAGATCCGTCTGGAGCTATTGAACAGTACGTGAAGACAATTGGGAAATTGGAGCCGAGCTACGTGATTCGCAAATTCATGGACTCGAAGCACATCGATAATCTGACCGCTTACTTGCAGGCTCTGCACAAGCAGGGTCAAGCCACCGAGGATCACACGACTCTCCTGCTGAACTGCTTCACGAAACTAAATAAGACTTCCAACTTGAAGGAGTTCATCCTGCAGAAGGACAGCGAAGTCAATTTCGACGTGGACATAGCTATCAAGGTGTGCAGAACTGGAAGCCCCGAGGAGGCGTTGATGCTCTCGAAGAGGCACAAGAAACACGACTGGTACATAAAATTGCTGTTGGAGGATCACATGAAATACACCGAAGTTATCGAATATCTGAGCAGCTTGGAAACGAATCAGGCCGAGATGTACTTGAAGAAGTACGGGCAAATCCTTATACAAAACGCACCGCACGAAGCCACGCAATTCCTGAAGAACTTTTGCACAGTTAATTCAACAGATTCCGACCCGGAGGATTACATCCACCTCTTCCTGAACAACTCCTCTCGTCTGGTGGAGTTTCTGGATTACCTGATAGAAGCAGGCTGCATCCTAACGTCGCCCGTTTACGATACACTGCTCGAGCACTATCTGCACGTCTGGGAATCTCTTCCGGATGGCGCGGAGAAGAATCGTTACGCGCAGAAGACTTTGAACTTGCTGCATAATCCTGATGTCAAGTACGACAAACCGCAGGCGCTCGTCGTATGCCACATGCACGGTTTCAGCGAGGGAATTCTGCATTTGTACGAAGAACAGAAACTCTACCAGCAGATTTTGAGGTGCGTGTTATTTAAGTGACATTAATTTGACGTGAAAACTTGAAAAATTGTTTTTGCTTAAACGAAAAATTTCAAATTTATTTGATTCCCATTTAGATACCACATGTCCAGGAGTAAGGAGCAATTTGATGCTAACGCAGTTTTGGCTTGCTGTCGAAGATTCGGTCATCAGGAGCCGACGCTCTGGGTGCAAGCACTGTGGACCTGCATCCGCGACGAAGAACACGAGTACAGCGATCTATTACCAGAGGTGATAGAAACCAGCCATTGCCATTAACGAATCTTCTCTTAACGTATCTTGATTTCAGATATTAAACGTGATCGCTAAGGAACGGCTGTTATCGCCGCAGTTGGTTATCGAAGCCATCGGTTCGGCAAATGCGGAAATAAAGTTGTCCCAGGTGCGCGAGTACATAATAAAAGAGCTGAAGCGCGAGAACGAGATCGCCAACAGCGACAAAGAGCTGACGAACAAATACAGAAAAGACACGGAAACGTTGAGGAACAAAGTGGAGGAGCTCAAGTATAATCCGATCCTGATTCAGGGCTCGCGCTGCGCTGCCTGCAATCACACGCTGGAGTTGCCCAGTCTGCATTTCCTCTGCCAGCACAGCTACCATCAGCACTGCTTCCAGAGCTACTCGGAAAACGAGAACGAATGTTTGGCCTGTCAGCCGGATAACAAGAAGCTGATGGAACTGCTGAAATCGCGTGATCAAAACAAGGACATTCACGAGACATTCCATTCGCAATTGGATAAGGCCAGCGACGGATTCACGCTAGCCGCGGAGTACTTCGGGCGCGGCGTCTTCAACACTGTTAAAGTGATTACCGATGAGCGGAAACCGATCGAGAAGCCTGCGGCGATGCCGCAACAGAAGCAGCCCGAGAAGGTCACGGAGGCGAGGATACGGCAGGAGGAGAACAAGCGCAGTCTTCCGGCTATCATTCCCAAGAGCGAAGGAAGGATTCGGATGCAGGAGAATAAATTTAGCTCGTCTTTGGAGGCGAACATAACTATGCCGAAGAGGCCGGAGCCGAAGAAGATCGAAATCGCCGCGCCTGCCGTCGATTTGAATCCGTTCGGCGACGATATCGACGACGAGGATGAATACGACAAGGAGAAGAATCCGTTCTTCGGCGAGGCGGACGATCATTGCGACAAGAATCTTAATCCGTTTGAAGTTTGATGCATCCCCCACTGTCCACAATTCATATACGCTGTGTTAATATAATAAATCGCTAGCTGTTAACGTGACCAGCTCGAATTTCACACCACTCATTAGTTTTACTCTCAATCCAAATCAATTTTACAATATTTTTAAATTGTTAATTATTTTTCCATCTGTTGTTCAATTATCAAAGTACAATTCTTAATTAACAAATTCAATATTGATTGATACAGATGATATGCATTAGGCATCTCGACAGATGTCTCTAGTATAGAGGAGCGGCAATTTGAAAATAATCAGCTGCCAGCAACTGTCACCGTTGTCAACTTTTGCCTGGACCGCGTCAATATTTCGTATCGTACTAAAGTGCACTTGGCGACGCGGACGCACGTTGCGTAATTTGAATCTAAATTAAGGCATATATCATCTCGTCCCGTAGAGAGAATCTCTATTATTCCCTTCAAAAGGCAGGAATCGCATCATCAAGGTTACATGAACTGTTACATTTCCGCAGGAAACGCTGCAGGTAATTAACCGCATTGATTGCTTTCCAAACACACAGCAGACGTAGCCAATTACCACAGCGCGTAGGTAATAATCTCCCGCAATTGCACTCTCTGCCCATTGAGGTTATGTCAGCAAGGGATGTGTGTCACGACACGCATTCCCCGGTTACGAAATCCAAAACATATTTTGAAAACAACAATAATTGGAGAGCGCCTCAAATGATATATATATTTCTATCACCATATTGCTGTTGCGCGCGTTGACAACTATATCTTTTGTCGCTTCCTTATGTTTTGATTTTCTTTTGTTTTTTATAATTTGAAAGTGGGTCACTGCGATGTGGTTCACGGGGGGAAGGTCGGAGATCCGTCGCGGAGGAATGTCCTCGCAGTAGAAAACGGATTCCAATTGGAAAAGTGAAAAGGCATATTTGCCTTGTTGTTGTTCTGTTGCAGTGGTAACCGACGCTGTTCGTGGAAGACGAAGTGAAGGAGGAGGAATCGGCGTTGGGGAAGGAGACGGCGAGCGAGTCGTCGTCGTCGAGCGCGGCATTGCGAGAAAGTTTTTCGTGCCGATGATACCGAGGGAGCCGTCGAAATGTCAGCAGCAGCAGCACTTAAATCCGAAAACAAGAATGTCGAATTCATCGTCAAGAATCTCTGCGCCGGTGGTAAGTCACTTTACTCATTAAATTACTTAAGACATCACAATCATGTTTTTTTTTTGAAACAATTGAAAAATTCTTATCAAAGAAATTTTGTTTATCTTCAAGTTTTTTTTGTTTTGTTGTTCAATTCATTATATAACGAGAAAACAAACGTACTTCCTATTACAGATTGCTAAAGTCAAAAATCAATATTGATTTTGGAAATCACGCGAGTATTACGAAAACAATTGCAAACTTTTTTTTTGATTATTGAAATGTCACTTTGACACTTATAAGGCGTAAAAGTGACAGGTATTCGTCATTACTTTCCATTGTTATTATTCTGGTTTTGACATAAAAGTTAAATCAATTTTGTAAGTTTCTATGGTAATATATTCGTTTTTTTTTAAATTTCAATATTTTAATTCAATTCGTAATTTATTTCCGATGTAAGTGTAATTATTGAGTCGTATTGTTTAATGACGCAATAAACATTTATCGAATGTTAATAGATAATAGCGCAATAATGCCATCAATTTTGTTTTTTTACTGTTACTAAAATTATATAGCATTCGTAATACTTGTTTTAACGAGATACAAATGTACTTGTTGTCCTTTAAAAATATTAATTACTACAATTCTCTGAACTGGCGAATAACATGCAAATCTACAAGTTTGCAAAATCGAACGCATTTTATATTTTAACTGATTTGATTTCGGTCTGTAACTATTATGCGATTGAGTGCGGATCTCGGTGAAGAGTGATAAAGCATTTGCGCGCAATCAATTTCACGTGGATCGCACGAGCGTTTTCGCTTTTACACTGCACACACTTATCAACCAATGAACTCGATCGACAATCGCCTCATTTGTTTATTAAATTTTCGAAAATCGTTCGATCGCAAAGTCCAAGATGCTGTTAGCGCATGGTTTTCCTGAAACGTTCATCGGTTAATCCGCTTCAAGGAAATGAGCCTCAAGAAAGTTGTTCTGTTCTGAAATGAGTCAGACATTCATTTCCGGATGTTGGCTCCGGTTTCGCGGAAGGACAATCTCACGTAAAAGCTGTTTCCTCGTCTCAGGAGGAAAAACCGATTATCTTCGTTTTGTTTATCTAAATAATTGTCGTCTTTTTATAAATGACAAGCCCTCAAATACGTTTCTACACTATTTCTTATAATTTTATAAACGAAATTACCTTGGGGGGAAAATTATTCCACACCGTGTTGTGTCTACATATATATATATATCTTCTGATGAACTTTAGGACATGAATAATTTCTTATGTTTTTACTTGTTGTTACGTAATTTGACACCGTTTCTTGGGAAATCATTTTGATATAATGGTTGGAAAGTTTGCGACATGAAAAAAATAATGCGTGTGCACTTTGAATAATTGTATGTAACAGGTGATCATCATCTGCATTGTATGGATTGTGTGCATTGATTTTCGTATTCTCGCAATGTTTTAGACTTCCGCGGACGCTAATTGGGCGCACCTGCCGTCTGCAAGATGATCTTATACACTCTATCACTTTCACAACATCTTTCTTTCTTATTCTTCTATGCTGCGTGTACAATCTGCGATAATTTCTCTAAATTGAAAACTTTCAGGTATCGCCGGCATGGTTTCTAAGACGACAGTAGCGCCTCTGGATCGCGTGAAGATCCTGCTGCAGGCGCACAACCGTCACCACGAACGTCACGGCGTCTTCACCGGAATGAAGCACATCGTGACCTCCGAATCACCTCTCGCCCTGTACAAGGGTAACGGGGCGCAGATGGTGAGGATCTTCCCGTACGCGGCCACCCAGTTCACATCTTTCGAGATCTACAAGAAGTACCTGAGCGGCGTCTTCGGGCCGAATTCGCACTTCGATAAGTTCCTGGCAGGCGCCGGTGCCGGCCTCACCTCCGTCTCGCTCACGTATCCCTTGGACACGATCAGGGCCAGGCTCGCATTTCAGGTATGTTATATAAGTACCATGGTAACAGTATCATGGTAACAATTTCAAGTCAATTATTATCAAATATATAATCTTGAAGCCAGATTTAGAAGTATAATCAACTTAAATTATTAACGTACTGTAATATTTAGCATCTGTTATCTTTAACTTTATAATCCTTAACATTAAAAACATTGAAATATTTGTTGTATGTCTGAAATATTTACGACAGTTTATCAGATAATAATTGTTTTGTGGACAAACGTTGTCAGTGAATGTTTCAATAATTCCAAGCATAATGCTATACTTTTTTTTTTATCAAGTTGTTAGGTTTATCATATTTAAATACGATTGGAATCTCAATAGAGGTGCTTTCGAAATGAATACATCTTGATGCTGATAAATAAATGCATGTTCCAGATAAGCGGTGAGCATGTTTACACGGGGATAACGCATGCAGCAGTTACCATCTTCAAGGAGGAAGGTGGCACCAGGGCTCTGTACCGCGGCTTCCTGCCTACTCTCATGGGTATGGTTCCGTACGCCGGTCTGTCCTTCTACTGCTTCGAGTACCTGAAGTTCGGCTGCATGAAATATCTGCCGCAATGGACTTGCAGGCCGTGCAAGAAGAACACCGGAGGTCTGGTGCTCGCCGTTCCAGCAAAGCTGATCTGCGGAGGATTGGCAGGCGCCGTCGCCCAGAGCGTCTCGTATCCACTGGACGTGACGAGGAGGCGGATGCAGCTGGCTCTCATGAATCCAGAGACCTCGCACTTCGCCAAGGGCATGTGGTCCACCCTCAGGTACATCTACAACGAGCACGGCGTGATCAAAGGTCTCTACCGTGGCATGTCCATCAACTACATGAGGGCCATCCCCATGGTCGCCGTCTCCTTCTCCACGTACGAGACGTGCAAGCAGATCCTCGAGCTCGACACCGGACTGAAAGTTTAAGAATTACAATCTATCGAATTCGTTCTCCTCTACTTACCCCTTCACGTGTCGTGTGCATTACTCCTATGTTAAGGTCAACCCAATAGATTCTCGTTCTCCTTTCACGGGTTTTAGATGCAAACGCGTACGGTTAAGTAGGCATTCCATTATTATTGTTCTATCTTTCACTCTGTTCTTATTTATTTATGTTTCCTTATAATGTACAGCAATTATTTATGCGTTTATTTATTGTTGGCTCATCTCTTTCATCACATATTTTTATTATACATTACGCATATATGATTTTATATTTTTTGAATACCAAAGATTTCGCAACCGATGATATTCTTGTAGGGCTAACATTTAGACTGCTCAAATGTATGAATGAGGATGTATCTAGATAATGCACACTGGTGTGCAGTAGTGCATGTGAAATGCTATTGGAGATTTCATCATGTTTTTTTACTTCTTTGTTTTGTGGAGAGTTTATTTTTATTATATAAAACATATATATTTTCAAATAAATTATTATTGTTTATCTTTTTATTTAATGTACTTACATCAATATATTTAGTTTTCAAGATGAATGGATGTTTAGAAGAAGAAAACTATTAGAAATTAGCCAAATTATGTCACTATAGATTACTTTAATTATATAATGTTTTAGAGATTTCTTTAGAGAAAAGAAAACTGACTAATATTCTGTATATAAACTGTCCTAGCCATTTTTAATAAATACCTGGATATTCAAAGAATTATTTATTGTATACTACATTTATGAATGTGAAAACAGACGAAGAAATAATAATTTAAATCTTATTCTCAAAGTACAGTTAGATTCAACACATAGCAGATCCGCCGCATTTTCTGTAATGAAACAGGTGCAACCTCGTGAAGGTAAATGCGTACGGTCTTGCATCAATTCAGAGGCTGTGTTTTGCGCTTGAATTGATACCTGGTTATCATCTTCGAGAGAAGATGATATACCTTTTGCACCTGGACATGCGGCCACGTGGAAATCGTCACTCTCATTCACAGCAAATGAGAGCAAACGCGCGACCGCACACCCTGGAGGAATCAAAAAGAAAATAAGGAAAGTATAGGATACAAGGAAATGCTATGATCTAGGTACCTGAAAGGGAACGTAACGATTAGTGACATGACATACAAATAAAATTAAATCAATCCTGAAACAGAAGAACACAAAGACATGACACACATCCGACCCGAAACATGAACGAAATATAGGTTTACACAATCTATAAGATCGTATTGAAAAATACGATACACATTTGTAATTACAATGAAAATAAAATTGCATTGCACATTGAACATCATTATAATATTTAACAGGAGAGGAATAAATGGAACGTCCATTTTCTCTCATCTTTTTTATTTTTTTCATTCTTTTGTTTTATGTATATGTTGTTTTTTATTATTGTTATTAATCCATATTTTATTTTTAATATTTTTTTTTATGTATTTATTTGTTTATACATAATATTTTTTATTAATCCATTTTTTTTTTAAATGTTTTGTATGTATTTATTTATTTATACATAATATTTTTATTAATTGACTTTTTTTAATATTTTTGTATGTATCTATTTGTTTATACATAATATTTTGTATAAAATATGATTTTCTTATTATTTTTTTCTATATTATGAATGTGTAATATGCAATGCATTACAATATAATCAAGCTGTCCAGCATTGTGATTACTCCAATAGGCTTTGCGTAATCGCCGAAAGCTTTACAAATTAAAACTATAAATTACGACCCATTCAATTCCTCATGTGCGAGTGGGGTTATAGGGATATGGGGAAAGGATAAGGATAAATGCGAACCGGAGACTCGGCGGTTCTAGGAAAGGATGGAG